GGGGAGGATGCGGGGATGGGGGAGGGACTGGAGGGGGGAGGATGTTGGAGGATGTGGGGTGGGGGATGGGGTAGTGGTGGGAAATGGGGACCGAGGAGGGAGAGTAGGGGATGGTGGGGGATGGGGTATCAAGGATGGGGTGGGGGAGGGGTGGCAGGCGTGGATTGGGGGGGTGGGGTGGAGAGATGGGGGAGGGACAGTGACCCCCCCTCGCTGGGTTGAGCCGGGCAGGTTCCCGCGTCCTCAAGGCCGAACCCGCAGGACTCACAGATGCAGGGACGTGGGTGGAGGGAGGAGGGAGGCGTCCCTGCAAGAAGTGGGGAGACCCCGGGGCAGCTGCAGGCAGCGATGGGAGCAGGTCTGGGAGGTGGTGATTTTGGGGCCCCCCCCGGGGGGCAGTGTGGGGGGGGGGCTCCTGGAATTCGGGCCGAGGTCCTGGGGCCGCTGGGAGGCTGGGGTCTCCCGTGGGGTCTCCCGTGGGGTCTCGTGACGATTCCTATGGGGCAGAGCCGGGCGCCGGCGGCTGAATCGTGGCCTCGTGGGGGTCACGTGACTTCGTGTGACGCGGACGCGGTTGAGCTCAGTCAGCGACTGAGGGACGTGAAGTGCGGACTCGCAGGTGGACAGACGGGGGAGCCGAGGTCCGGCCGGGAGCGCTCACCCCTGCACCCCGCTCTGCTCTGGGGACACGGGGGCAGTTTGAGACGGCAGGGATGGGCCTTGAAGGCCGAGCCGAGGAAGTGAGGCCCGCGCGGGGGCTGCGCCGGGAGGCCCCACCGCTGCTTGGCTCTGCGCTGCCGGCTCCCCCCTGGCTTGGCGGTGGCCCGGGGGCGCGGGGGGCGGGCGGCGGCGTAACCCCTGCCTCTCGTGCCAGCCATGTACTCGGTGCAGATCACGGTGGAGAAGGACAAGGTGACCGGGGAGACCCGGGTGCTGTCCAGCACCACCTCGCTCCCCCGGGAGCCGCTCCCCCAGGGCATCAAGGTGTACGAGGACGAGACCAAAGGTACGCGCCCCCCCGCCCCACCCCGGACCCCTTCTTCGGCCCAAGCCTGACCCCGTCCCATGGGGACGCCACCCCGTCCTCCTTTCCTCCAAGGAACCTGCCTTGAAGCTTGGCCGATCCCGGGTGGGATTCCCAGCCAGCTGGCCCGTCAGTCCCAGTCTCTGGGACGCTTGTGATAAAGGCTCCAAAACCCCACAGACGCAGACGGGGTGTGAGAGGGTTTAGCAGGGCGGGGAGGGGGCCGGGCGCAGGACCCATGATGCACAGCGAGGTGGGGAGACAGGGCACCTGGCAGAGGCCGCAGCACGTGCAAAGGCCCTGAGGTGGGGGCGTTTGCTGGGCTGGAGGAACTGAGAGGAGCCAGTGGGGCCGGTGAGGAGGGGCGGGAGGCGGCTGGCAAAGGCTTGGGATGGGTGAGCCGGGGCGTGGTGATGAGGTCCCATTCGGTTTTTAGGGTTCCCGGTGGTGGCCGGGAGGGGAACAGGCCATGGGGACACCCACAGGGAGCTGGGAGCCCGGGATTTCAGTCTCTGTCTTTCTTGATATGATTCAACCATAAATTCACTTTTTTTTTTTTAACTGTGGAAAACTTTTATTTCGATGATGCAACGTGTCAGCGTTGAGGGGCCAGTTTCATAAACATGTTGGCGTTTAAATTTATCCGCTTTCGGCCTGACCTGTGGGACGGGGTATGCGTGACCCCGGGGAGGGGGAGATTCTAGGCAGTGTTTGCGGTGATGCTAGAAAAGGAAAGCAAACCCTCTCTGGGAAACTAAATGTGTCTTAAGAAGACATTATAGGACACGCTCAGGATCAAGGCGGCTTCTTTGTGGCGCGGAGCTCAGAGCCCGTGCCCCCGAGTCAGGTGCTAAATCCTAGAGCTCGGCTCTAGTGCCCGTTAGCAGGTCCACGAATGCCGCCCTTACAAGAACCCGGGACACGGGGTGGAAGGATCCAGAACACCGTGCAAGGCAGCGTCCGATGCAGTGGGTTTTGGAATATTCACCGTGTTGTGCACCCTCGCTGTCTGGTTCCGGAACATTCCATCCCCCCAAAAAGCAGCTCCGTCCCTGTCAGCATCCCCCCCCACCCCCTCCCCAGCCCCTGGCCCCCACGAGCCCGCTCTCTGTCTGTGGATCTGCCTGTTCTGGACGTTTCATGTCCATGGGGTCACACGCCGTGTGTCCTTCTGTGTCTGTTTCTCTCCCTGAGCGTCGTGGGTGCAGGTCCGTCCACGTTCCTACTTTATGGCCGAATGAGGTTCCATTGTTGGGATGGACCACGTTGGGTTTGTCCGTCCTCAGCTGATGGGCGTTTGGGTTTTTCCCGCCTTTTGGTTTTCTAATGCCTTTCGAGGTTTTGGGGCCAGACGTCTGGGGACGACCCCCAGGAGTGGAACTGCTGGGTCAGGCGGTGACTCCGTTCCACCTTCTGAGGACCTGCTGGGTGTTTCCCGCCGGCCGCGTGCGAGGGTTCCCGTCTCTCCACATCCTGGACGCGTGTCCTGGTCCGTTTTATCCCCGTTGACGTGATGGGGGGTGGCCAGTGGGTTCGGGTCCCAGAGCCTCGTGTTCTCAGAGGACGTCGCGGCGTCCGGGGTGCTCTTAAAGGAGCCGCATCACTCAGCTCTGCCGCCGTCGGGGGGCGTAGGCCCTGCCGCCTCCGGCTCTCGCCAGCTGCGTGGTCCCGGGCGGCCGCTCTGTCCAGCCCGGCCCGGCCCCTGGGGATTCGGGACCCGCTGGACCGGACTCTGGTTGCCTGGCAACGGGAAGGTGATCCGTTTCCATGGCAGCCGAGGGCTCGGATTCCTGTGGGACGTCCTCCGCTTGACGCCGTGTGACCCGGGTGCTCCCCGTCCCCGGGCCTCCAGCCCAAAGGCACCGCCAGGCCCAGGGCGGGTGGACGCCGCCTCCCTGGGGGTTTGGAAACTGAGAGTAGAAAAAGCACTTTCCTTCTGGCCGGAAGCCAGGAACCCGGCCCTGACCTTTGGCCTGAGAGGCGGCGCGTCCCAGGGGCGCCCGGGCGTCCCTCCCCCTGGCAGCCGGGGGCCGGGTGTCTAGGAGGCGTTTGCCGGGCTCTTATCTGGGGCACCCGACGGTGGCCGGGCTCCTCCTCCTTAGAGACGGCCACACAGCCCGGAAAATCAGAGACATGAGCGCGAATGTTGGCGAGATTTGGAAAATGCGTTTGGCAACGTGGATGCACGTACGAAACTCTGGCCGGTGGAGAAGGGCGTTCTTTTCAAACGGGCTGAGCGTTTTCGGGAGGTGACGTAGTCCCGGGCCGCACAGGCCGCTCCAAGGACTGTTGCAGAGTTTCTATCTTAGGCTGTGGGTTCTCGGGTCGCAGCTCCCCCCAACTCCCCGAAATTTAAAAACGCCCTTCAAAATAAATGCTGGCTTCAAGAGGCAGTCGGTCAAGGTGGAAACGGTAAACTGTTTACACTCGAAAGAGAACGACCCGGTGGGATCCAGGGGATGCAGCCAAAGCAGGGCTCCGAGGAAAATGTATAGCCTTCAGGGCATTTACTAGAAAACGAAAAATATTGAGTGAAGGAACTAAACTTTAATTCAAAAATCAACCCCATAAACCCAAAAAAGGAAGGAATCTGGACGCCCACAACTCCTCAGGCCTAGCCTGGGAGAAGGAGCGGGGTCCAGCTGTGTGACTGTGGGCTGGTTGCTTCCCTTCTCTGAGCTTCACCATCCTCGCGGTGGCCGAAAACGGACCTACTCCGCATGGTTATCTGACTGGAGTCAGTCACGTAGGGAATGTGGAAAACCCTCAAAATGCAGGACGGTAAAACGCCAGCTCCTTGGGTGACGCTCCGTCTTGGTTTCTAACAAATGCTTTGGGGTCTGTGAATTTTCCTCCGTGCCCCAGTTTGGCTGCATCCACGGGTCCCAACTTGATCGTCCGTCGGTTCTGAATGCGTAATTTAATTTCCTCGATACCCCGCAGGGGGGCTCGCGGCCTTGCCCGGCCACCCTCCCGTCCGGGAACCAGCTCACACCCCCTCTCTCTCTCTCTCTCTCTCTCCCCCACCGCCCGCCTCCGCCAGTGGTCCACGCCGTGGACGGCACTGCCATGAACGGGATCCACCCGCTGAGCTCCTCTGAGGTGGACGAACTCATCCACAAGGCGGACGAGGTCACGCTGAGCGAGGCGGGGTCTGCGGCCGGGTCGGCGGAGACCCAGGGGGCCCCGGAGGAGGCCGTGTGGACCACGCCCTCCAGGCGGGAGATCACCGGGGTGCAGGCGCAGCCGGGCGAGGCCACCTCGGGCCCTCCGGGCATCCAGCCCGGCCAGGAGCCCCCCGTCACCATGATCTTCATGGGCTATCAGAACGTGGAGGACGAGGCCGAGACCCAGAAGGTGCTGGGCCTGCAGGACACCATCACCGCGGAGCTGGTGGTCATTGAGGACGCGGCCGAGCCCAAGGAGCCCGCCCCGCCCAACGGCAGCGCCGCCGAGCCCCCGGCCGCCGCGGCCCCCCGGGAAGAGAACCAGGTGGGGGCCGAGGCCCCCGCCAGCGAGCCCCAGGACCTCGACATGAAGAAACACCGCTGTAAATGCTGCTCCATCATGTGAGCCGCCCGGCCCCCCAGACCCCGGCCCCGCCCTCCGTGCCAGACACCCACCGCCCAGCCCCCCCGGCGCCTGCCCACCCTCCACCCACCGCCACGGGCCCCAGGACACGCCGTGTCGTCACACGTTCCTTCTGAGTTTTCTCTCACTGGAAAGAGAGGGACGGGGAGGTCCCGCCCGCCCCCCGCCCAGGCACCGCCCCCGACACGCCCTAACCACTGAGCCGCACGTCCGCACCTGGCCGCAGAGACACACACGGCAGACCCACCCGTCCCCGAGACGAGACCCCCGTGTCGCAGCAGCTCCACAGACGCGGCTCCCGCCCACGGCGTCCCGGCTGGCGTGACCCGGGGCCTCGGGGCGGCTCCGGGCCAGCCCGCCACCCTCTGGGCCTCCTGCCTGTGCCTTCCTGCCACCTCCCATGAGGTCCCCGAGGGGACATCTCACCAGAGGGAGCCGCGGGGGCCTGCTCAGTCCCCACCCAGCCCCGGGAAGCGGGTCCCTCGAGGGTCCCCACCTGAGGCGCCGGCGTCCGGGTCTCGGCCGGCAGGGGTGAGGCCATACCTCTTGGGGGCCCAGGCTCGAGGTCTCGGCTGGAGCACACGCCCCTCCCCGCGTGCCCTCTCTGGGCGCAGCCAGTGGACGGTGGAGCCTGGGGAAGGGGGCGCCCTGGGGACAGGCCCCCCGCCGGGTAGGGACCTGTGACCCCTGCGCTGCCGTCTGGTCGGGGCGGGCGGGGGTCTCGGAGCTGCCCCTGCGCGAGGCAGGGACGTGTGAGCCGCTTCTCATGCCGACCGCCCGCCCCCACTGGGCCCTCCTTCCTCCTGGTGCTAATTCGGGGACCCCGAGGGCCTGCCCCCCGGCCCCGTCTCCAGCCCGCTTGGTCCAGGGTCCCGGGTCCCCCCGACTACACCCCGGCGATCGGGCCCAGTGCCGGCTCCGCTGGGTGTGGCGCGTCCAGGCAGCGGAGGGGGACCCCCCACGGCCGCCCAGCCCGATGTGAGCCTGCCCCCCTCTCACCGGGAGGGGCGAGGGGTGACCGGTGCCCATCCTGGGGGTGGCCGACACCCGGCTGTGCACGCACGTCTCTGGGGTGCAGCCACCCTTGTCCCCGGAGGCGCATTCGTGCACGCGCTCACAGCCCCTCTCGCGGGTGGGCTGAGGACGACCAGGCCGCCCCCTCGGCAGGGCGGGTGCAGGGGCCGCCTCGACCGCGGCCCGGGTCCCGTCTCAGCTCCGCCCCTCGTTGGCCGGGAGGAGAGGCCCTCGTGAGACGCCCCTGGGCCGTGGCCGTGGCCCCCCCTCCGCCCTCCTCGAGTCCACCTGCGTCCTCGAGCCGTGAGCCTCCGCCGCCCCCTCTGCTTTCGATGTGTGACGAGGCCCCGATGTTCTTGACTTTCCCGGAGAAGCAAATAAAACAGTGTGAGCAGCCGCGGGTCCTGGAGTTCTTGGGTTTCACGGGGCGGGGAGGGCGCGGCCGGCCGGGGGCGGGGCCCCACCTGCGCCATAAAGGGAGGCCGGGCCGGGCCCCGGGGAGCTGGCCTCTCCCGCCTGCCGCCGCGCACCCCTCGGGCTCACCCGGTGCCGTGGGTGGGGGCGTCAGTGGAGTCCGTCCCGCATCTGCGTCCCAGCAGGTAAGGCCCCGGGTGAGGAGGCGGCACCCGGGGGTGACTCGCTCCCCGGGGACGGAAGGGGCCCCGCAGACACCCCCAGCTCCGCGGAGAAGCGGGTTCGCGGGAAGCGGGTGGAGGCACAGGGGAGGCGGCGTTTACCGGGGTTCCCACCCGGCTTCGACCCCACTGTGTGATCCTGGAGAAGTCCTGCCCCTCTGGGCCTCGGTTTCCCCATCTGGGCTTCATGAGCCAGGACAGTCGGGGCCTCATCCCCGCGGTGCCCCCAGCACCCTGGGTGACCCAGTCTCTGCCCTTTCGGGGCCTCAGTTTCCCCGCATGAGCGGTGGGCTGGTGAGTACGGTGGCGTGCGTGAGATGGGGCTCGCGTTCGGATCCCAGCCCCACCCCTGACACTCGGCCCTCAGGCAGGACCGGGAGCTTCCCGTGCCTCAGTTTCCACACCTGCATAACGGGGACAAAGGGAGCCATGGGGGTGACGGGAGGAGATGGTGGGGCTGTGCGCTCTGGGTTTTCACAGACCCACGCACGGCACGCGCTCAGCTGTAACTCCGGGCTGGGCCCTTTGTCCGGATCCGTCCGTGAGTCCCCTCCTCTCGGCAGCCCTGCCGGGTCCGGGCTGGGGGCCCGTTTGATGGAAGAAGAGACTGAGGTTCAGAGGGGCCCCATGTTCAGCCAAGGGGCAGGTCAGGACAGAGCTGCAGCCGTGGGATGGAGGCCCCATCCGCCGTGTCCCCTCCCCGTGGACTGACTGCCGGGCCCTGCGGCCCTGGGGGGGTCCCTGCTCCTCAACCGAGAATCTGCCCATTTCGAGCCTCGGGGGGGCCGTGTCCATCCCGCCAGTGTTTTCTGGTGCTTTCCGTGTCCTCGTTCGGTCCTTTATGTCCCTGAAGTGGCCTGGGGACTTCCAGCCGTGCGGTGGCTCCACTTCCCAGAGGAGGAAACTGGGGTTCAGAGGTCAAATGGGATTCGAACCCAGGTCCGGCTGAACCCCCAGAGGCGGGCGAGCCAGGCTTGTCCCAGAAAGGGGCTCCCTGGGGGGGGCGGCCCCAGAGGGTGGGCTGAGCCGGGTGGCACGGTGGGGGGTTGGGACACAGACATCCCACTGAGAAACAGATGGCGGGCTTGTGGCCTGCTGTGTGCCCCTGGGTGGGCGGTGTCCCTCTCTGAGCGGTGCCAAGAGGTGGCAGGAGAGCCAGACCGGGCCGCTGCAGGGAGGTTTCGGGGTGAGTTCCGGCTGCTCCACAGCGCCCGCCCCGCCCTGCCCGGTGTCGTCTTTCTCTCTCCTCCCCTGGACTTTGTTTCCCGAGGCCGGGAGGGGCCCAGGAGGAGGAGGAGGGGGCGCACCTGCTCCCGGGGCGGGCCGTCCCCTGGCAACCGCTGGCAGGGCGGCGCCGGGAGGCCTGGGTGCCCGTCTGCAGAGCGGAGCCGAGTCAGGAGGCTGCTGGGCCCGGGAGCCGCGGGTGAGGCTGCGGGGGTCCCGCAGGGGGGTCTGTCTCTGGCTCGGGGTCCGTGTGCCGCCGGTTGGCACGGGCTGCTCAGCGGTGGGGCCCCGTCCTCTGCCCCCACCCCCGGGCCCAGCGGGTGGGGCCTCCCCTCGCTGTGCGCCCCAGGCTGGCTCTGAGGCCTTGGGGTCTGCGTCCCCCCCGCCCGTCCCTGAGGCCCGGGGGCCTCGGTCTCCCCTCTGGCCCTCCTCACAGGCCCCCCCACGGGTTCCGGGAATTCCTGAGGCTTCTGGGAGATGCTGCTCAGCACCAACCAGAGGCTTGCGGGGCTGGGGTGGGGGGGGCGCGTCTCGGACAGCACACAACAGCCCCACGGGGTCCCGGGCCCGGTCGGGGCGCACAGCACGGGGTCGGGGTGTCGGCCCAGAGGCTCATGGGTGTCCAGCCTCTGAGGGCGGCCCGGATCCCGTGGGGCCGGAGACTCAGCCGCGTCCAGCTGTGTCGAGGGGTCAGGGGACCGTGGCCCGAGTGACTGAAGGGGAACCCCGGAGCCCCTCCCGGTGGTGACCGGCCCAGCCTGAGCCCGGGGCCCCTCAGCAGCCCTTTGCCCCGAGGGCAGGAGGCCACCCGCAGGTGACAGGGGAGCAGGTGTGTGGCACCTGGAGCCATAAACCCAGTTCAGTTTGGCGTCTGCACAACACAGGGTGGGGTGGGGAGGAAGCATCCCGGGGGTCTTCCTGGAGGAGGAGGAAGGCTCAGGCTTGGGGACAAGTTGCTCTGTCACTGGCTGTGTGACCTCGGGTGAGTGACCTCCCCTGTCAGGGCCTCGCTTTCCTCCGCTGTCACCTGAGGACAGGAATGGTCCTCCGGTCACAGGCTCTTAGGAGCAAATGGGATGCTGGTGCTTGGTGCTCGGTGCTCGGTGCTCGGGGAGCCGCCCACAGGCGCGAGGCTCTGGGGTTGTCACGAGGACCCACTTGCTCAGCACCTCCGAGGTCTCAAAAAGGACGAGTCTCCTCCCTGGGGTTTCTCCGCGATGGGGACCCCGCTCAGGCCCCATGGGGGGCAGCAGCATCCCGCGTTACAGAGTGGGAGACTGAGGCTTTGCGAGAGGGGGTGCCTGCCTCAGGGTCACCCTGAGACCAGCGGTGGATCCGGGGTTGAAGGAATAATAGCAACGACCGCTGTGAAAGCATTTATCTAGCGCCTGTTGTATACCAGGCACAGGGGATGGATCTGCATGGCAGCCCTTCGGGGTGGAGCCGCGCGCCCTGGACTCTGCTACCATCCAGGTGTGGACGCTCAGGCCAGAGGGCGGAAGGGCCTTGCTCAAGGCCACGGGCAAGTGGGACCCGGGACCCTTGCACCCACAGCCCCGCCCGGCCCCGCCCCACGGCCTCAGTGACTCACCCGCGCCCCGCCCGACACCCTGCGGCAGGTGGATTTTCCTCCCTGGGTTCGTGTCTCCCGAGGCTTGTAAATCCCGCTGGTGAGCAGCCGGTCAGTCACTCTGCAAACACACCTGCGTCAGCCGCCGCCCCCGCCCCGCCGGGAGCCAGGGCGCGGGCGCAGAGGGGGCCGGGGACGCCCAGCTGTGGGTCAGCGCCCGGCCAGCAAGCGGCTCAGCCCAACCCTCACACCCCGAGTGCTCAGGGCCAGGGGTGTCTGCGGATGCCGCGCCATTATTAAGCGCCTGCTGTGTACGAGGATCTGGGCTGCAGCGGGGGGATGCTCACCCGGGCCCCACGGGGAGGGTCCCAAGCTGACAGCTTCTCGTGGGAGGAGACGGGCCCACCCCCAGCGACCCTCAGGGAGAGTCCGCGGGGGCCGCGTGGTCCCTGCGCCGCGGCTCAGCCGGGTCGGGTCAGGTCGGGTCGGGTCGGGTCGGGTCTGCTGGGATCCGTGACCCAATCCTGCTTGTTCTGAAAGATTGTTTCCCCGAGTCTGATACGTGGAAACAGCGAGTGAGACATAACGTGTCGGCTGTGACATTGTTGCCACGATGGATGTTGCACTGATGGACGCCACCCCCAGGTCGGGGAGGGGCCGCGATTTCCACGTCGGAGCTGCATTTAGGGTTTTTTTTTTTAGTGGGGAGGATTGGTGCTGTGCTAACATCTGTTGCCGATTTTCCTCTTTTTTTTTTTTATTTTTGCTGAGGAAGACTGGCTCTGAGCTCACATCCGTGCCCATCTTCCTCTACTTTATATGTGGGACGCCGCCTGAGCATAGCAGCTTGCCAAGCGGTGCCATGTCCGCACCCGGGATCCAAACTGGACAACCCCGGGCCGCTGTAGCAGATTGCGCGAACCTACCCACTGCACCGCTGGGCCGGCCGCTGCATTTAGCTTTTATAGCCAAGTGAATATGAAGGCAGCGAATGTGCACAGTTACTGTGATGGGACCAGGGGGCCGAGGCCGAGGGCCATCTGGGGAGTTGAGGATGGCCCCCCTCCTTCCTCAGCTGTCAAAAGGAGACGCCTCACACTGGGTTCTGGGAATGCCGGAGGTGTTCAGACGACGGGCTCCGAGGCCGGGGCAATCTGGGGGGCTCCCTGGAGGAGGGGTCCTGTGGGCCGCCGCCGAGGAGGCTGTGGAGGAGCAGAAGGGAGAGTCCTGGGGCAGAGGGAACCGTGCGGGGAGGAGGAGGGCCGGGTGTGCGGTGCGGCACCTGTGGAGTCCGGGGTTTGTGCCGAGGCCGGACGGACGCCTGGAGGGCCGGTGCGGGCGTGAGAGTCGCACCCGGGGACGTCAGGAGCCGCGGAGTGGGACCTTGGAGGAGCCTCCTGGAGCTGCGCTCAGCGGGCACTTGGGAGGGGCCCGTCCCGCCGGGGTCACTGGGTCAGGGTGTCACTTGGTCCCTCGGGACAAGGTCCAAGGCGTTCCCCAGCCCATCTTGGCTTTATGGCACCGAGATGTGGCGGGCGGGGCGGGTGGGGGGAGTTGGCTGGGATGGGACGGGGCGTCCCCCTGGGCGGGTGCAGGGGGAGAGAACCGGGATGTGGCAGCCGGGAAGCTGGAGTCTCTGCCAGTCACTACCCCTCCCTGGGCCTCAGTTTCCCCACTTGACATCCCTCAGCGAGGGGCAGGCCCACTGGGGCCATCTGTAAACGTCGGAGGGAAACAATCACAGAAGGGACCCCAGAACGTGTGTGCCCTGGGAGACAGGCGGACGCACGCACTGGGGACGCCCAGGGAGGCAGTCCCGGGGTGGCACTGGGTCTGGATGGGAAGCTGAGTGGGGGAGGGAGGAGCAGAAGGAGTGGACAGCAGGGGGCTGACCGCGGCAGAGCCCACCCTGTTTGGAAGATGAAGTGGGCAGAGGTGCCTACAAACGTCAGACACACGTGGGGCGGTTTATTGAATCAGTACAAGAGTGCTCAGGGATTCAGGTGTGGCTGGATCCAGGAGCTCAAACATTTTTAGGATGCTGGGTTGGGGTTGGGGTTGGTATGGACAAGGCTGTGTCCACAAGGGGACACCTATGGCCTCCGGAGGTTCTCAGCATCATCTCAGCATCCTAATAAGCCCAGCGGGGAGAGGGTTCAATTTACCACGTTCATTAAAAAGTCCCAGGATTTTCTGTCATTGGGCAGATTGGGTCATGTGTCCAGCCCTCCACCAATCACAGAGGCCCAGGCATGGAATGCTCTGATTGGTCGGCTGGGTCGATTGTCCATCCCCGAACCCATCACAGGGCCAGGACGGTGCCCTCAGAGGGGCCGGAGATTGGGCTTCGCCCCAAGCCCCCTGACCTGGCGGCTGTCGCTTCCTTCTCCCTCAGTGAGCCCAGCGCATCTCCGCCCGGGAGCCCGAGAGCCCGGAACATGGACCGAGTGACCAGATACCAGATCCTGAACATCCCCCACTCGCGGCGCGTGGCCGGCCCGGCCTTCGACGGCGACCCCAGCTACACGGTCGAGCTGGTGAGCGTGGGGCCCCGCGCCGGCGGCTGGAGCCAGGACGACCCGCAGGCGTGGCCGGCTGACCGCAAGGCCCGGCCGAACCTGGTGCGGCCGGGGGCGCCCTACAGCCCGCGGGCCTTCTCGGTCCAGCGGTCGGCGCGGTCCCTCCACCCGGAGGACGGCGAGGAGGAGGAGACGGAGGTGTACCACCCGGACGTCAGGCGGCCGTGGGACCTGGAGCGGGAGCGCTGGGTGGTCATCCAGGGCCAGGCGGTCAAGACGAGCGACGGGGGGGCCACGCTGGGTGACGCCCCTGACCACGGGGCCCCCGGGAGCCCCGGCCGGTGGCCGCCGTCCACACCCGCGGAGGAGAACGCGGTCGACAGGGAGCAGATCGACTTCCTGGCGGCCAGGCGGCAGTTTCTGGGCCTGGAGCAGGCGCGCGCCGACGCCCCTCGGAGACCCGCGGGCAGGGCGGCCCCCGCGCACGACCCGCCCAGGCTCAGCCCGGCGCCCAAGGCCGAGACCAGGCCGCCGCTGGCCAACGGGCACGCGGCGCCGGCGAAGCCCCCGGGGAAGGAGGTGGTCCTGGAGGAGAGGGGCGTGCGCGGTTGGTCCGCGGGGGCCGCCGTCCCGGCTGCGGTGGAGCCCCCCGAGGCGCCCGGGGAGACGCCCATCGAGCGCGAGATCCGGCTGGCGCAGGAGCGGGAGGCGGCCCTGCGGGAGCAGCGGGGGCTGCGGCGGGCGAGCGGCCGCCAGGAGCTGGTGCAGGTGGTGTCGCGGCCGGTGCTGAGCAAAGTGACCCTGGCCGACGCCCCGAGGCGCGAGCGCGGGCGGCCGTCGCTCTACGTGCAGCGGGACCTGGCGCAGGAGACGCAGCGCGAGCAGGACCACCTGCGCGAGGGCCGGCGGGTGGGCCGCGCGTCCACCCCCGACTGGGCCTCCGACGGGTCCCCCCCGCCCGCCGGGCTGCGGAGGGCGCTCAGCTCGGACTCCATCCTCGGCCCGACCCCCGACGCCAGGGCTGCCGACCCGGTTCCCGAGGCGCGCAGGGTAAGCCGCATCCCGCCCAGCGCCTACCAGCCGTACCTGGGCTCCGCGGCGCCCCGGCCCGAGCTCCCCGCCGTCTACGCCGACGACGCCGAGGCCGCGGGGTCCCCGAGGCATCTCTGGGGAGCCCCCGGGAAACCCCGGGGCGCGAAGCAGGAGCGCTCCAAGGCGGCGCAGGGAGCCCCGCGGGCCGACGGGGGCGTCGTGCGCTGGGAGAGCTTCCGCCTCCGTCCGCTGCGTTTCGGGGTCCCGGAGGAGCCCCCGCAGACCGAGGCCCCCCGGGACTGGGGCTGGGAGGCGCCCGGGGCCCCCGCCACGAGGCTGCACAGGTCCGGGTCGTCGGAGCTGCTGGAGCGCGAGGTGGAGACGGTGCTGCGCCGGGAGCGCGAGTTGGCGGCCGAGAGGCGGAGCGCGCTCTTCCCCGAGGTCTTCTCGCCGTCGCCGGACGCGGACGCGGACGACGACCGCGGCTCCAGGAGCTCGTCGCAGGCGTCCGGTGAGGGGCCGGGGGCGTCGGGAGGGGCCGGGGTGCTGCCCACCGTCCCTGCGCGCTCGTCCGGCTCCTTAAGCCGCGGACCGTGGGTTTGGACACGTCATTAGTGGCGCGTAAAGGTTGACAGAGGTTGTGTCCTCTTGGTCGGTGGCTCCTCTGCGTCCATCCCGAATATCGCCCTGTGTTACTTTTTTTTTTTTTTTTTTTTTGAGGAAGATTAGCCCTGAGCTAACATCTGCTGCCAATCCTCCTCTTTTTGCTGAGGAAGACTGGCCCTGAGCTCACATCCATGCCCATCTTCCTCTACTTTATATGTGGGACGCCTACCACAGCATGGCTTGCCAAGCGGTGCCATGTCCGCACCTGGGATCCGAACCGGCGAACCCTGGGCTGCCACAGTGGAACGTGTGCACTTAACCGCTGTGCCACCGGGCCGGCCTCACTTCTTTTTTTTTTTTTTTTAAGATTAGCACCTGAGGGAACATCTGTTGCCAATCTTCTTTTTTTTCCTTTTTCTTCTTCTTTTTGCCCCCCCAAAGCCCCCTAGTGTGCAGCTGTGTATTCCAGTTATGGGTCCTTCTGGCTGTGTCCCCCGTGTCACTTTTAATGCTTTTTGCCTCTCGCCCTCGGCCCGCCTGCCCGTCCAGTCTTTCCTGACCGGCTGTGCTGGTCCCCCCGTCGGTTTTCCCATCTCGCTGTCTGCTCTGTCCGTCTGTCCATCCGCCCGTCTCCTGAACTGGTCCAGCCTCTTGGCCCAGAGACTCCGTGTGTCCAGGGCTGGGGTTTGACCGCTGTGCTGCCCTCGAGGGGCCCTGGCACCCGCCCTGAGGCTCCTTCCTCCCCTCCCCCCGACCCTACAGGCCTCACGGGCAGCTACTCGGTGTCCGAGGTGCACTTCCGCCCCGTCCACCTGCAGTCGGGCCTGGCGTGGACGGCGGAGGCCCCGGCCGAGGCGGCGCCCGGGCAGAGGAAGAGGAAGGAGCAGTGGGTGAGTCGGGAGCCCCTGGAGGCGGGTCCCCCACGAGGTCGTCGTTGTCATTTAGCGTGTTTGTCGTCATCGCCATTTAAGCTTTTGCGGGACGCGCTCGGGGCTCTGCACCCGCCAGGCAGGGGAGGGACCCACCCAGGGTCACCAGGCTCCCGGCCGGGACCGCAGCCCAGGCCTGACCCCACCCCCCGTGTTTGTAACCGGGAGGCCAGCTCCTCCCTGGCTGGGGTAGTGGGGACGTCACCGACAATCACCCCAATGCTGGCCGCGCACACCCGGTGCTCACAGCCCGGCCTGGTGGTTTGGGACACCGAGTGGAGTCCAGTGACCCGGGGTTCAGGTCCTAGCCCTGCCCCTTGCCGGCTGTGTGATGTTGGACAAGTCCCTGTCCCTCTCTGAGCCTTGATCCCCTCCTCTGTGAAACGAGCTTCAGTCAGAGCAGCCCCCTCTGAGCCTCAGAGCGGACCCGGCCGCATTAGGAGTCCACAGACGTCGACCCCTTTGTTAGGGTGACGTTTATATTGAAGAAAAATGTCAAACGAGGGACTGAGGCCTCATGGAGGGGAACAGCATGAGGGAACAGCATGGTGGATGGCTCTGAGGTTGGGGTGACCGAGGGGCATTGGGGGGACGCCTGCGGGCAGGGAAGGCCTCCCCTTCTGCCCCACGTGGTGGCCGAGTGGGCCGTGCTTTGGGTTCCAGGCGGGCTGTGGGGTGGGGCGGAGCGTGAAGGGCCCGGGCTGACGGACGTGTTCCCTTCCCGCAGTACGCAGGCATCAACCCCGCGGACAACATCAACTCGGACGTGAGTGGCTCCTGGGGCCGACGCCCGTCTCTCCCTCCCCCGTCTGTGCCCCCCGACCAGGGGCATCGGGGCCACCAGAAGCCCTTCCTCGGGGTGTGGGGCCCTCCCTGGGTATCTGCTCGATGGATGGTGTCTGCCCGAGGTGGATCTTGCTGTGATCCGCTCGTGATGCCTGCCGCGGGCACAGAGGGTGGAACAGGGTCCGCGTGCCGGGAAGGGTTCTGTCAGGTTGGGCCCAAGACGAGGGCATTTTCTTCGAGGGAGGGGTCCATCTGAGAGTGTGCAGGAGGCCAGCGACCTCAGTGGCCCCCTCTGAGCCGCGTCCAGAGTGCCAGGCCCGGGCGTGGGCCCCGCTGTGGAGCTCAGCAGGAGTTAGCTTGCTGGGCACTATCACTAGGAGTAGAGGGTCTGAAACAGAGGAGGGGATGGTGCAGCTTTACCCCGTCCTAGGGCTCCCCTGTGAGCCGGCGGTGGGGGGGGTGTCCGGGGGAGGGTCAGGACCCTGATGTAGGGCGGGGACCCTGACGGGGATCCATGCCCGTTCTCGCAGATCCTGGAAGCCACGAGGGTGACCCGCCACAAGAGCGCCAGGGCGGAACGCTGGGAAGCCGGCATCTACGCGAGCGAGGACGAGGACTGAGCCTGGGGACAGGGGCGCCCACCCCCTGCCCTGCGGTGACCCCGTGGGAACTGCCCCCCGCCACCGACCCCAGCTTAGGAAATAGGTCCCCGGCCAGGCCCACACGGGGGTCACGGGCACCAACCCCGGGGCGGCCGCGCTCTCCGACTCTCGAGGGCTTTCTTTTCCGTTTTTATTTTCCGGGAGAAATCGTTGTGGGTTTTGGGTCCAAAGCTGGGAGGAAACGGGATTTCTGTCGATTCTTTCTGCTCCTGAGACTTTGCCAAATGCCGTCCGGCCCGAGGAGGAGGGGGGCCAGCTCCCTGCCCCCCGGGGTCTCCGGGCCGAGCCCCCACCCGGCGGAGGAAGGGCTCGATTCGGGGTCCTCCTGCTGCGCCCCCCACACTGCCTGTCCCGCGAAATGAAATAAACCCGCGGGGCCGCCCGGCCCCCTCTGTTCCGCTTTCTTGATGACACGGGTGCTGTTTTCCGCTCCGGCCCGGCCGTCGGGTTCACCATCGTTCCCGGCGAGTGGTATGCAGTCGGCGCTCACTCCATGCGTGTTCGTGAGCGAGTGGCCTCTCCAGTGGGCCGGCCCAGTCCTGCTCCCACGGAGCCCGTCCCGCTGCCCAGCCGCTCTCCTCCACCATCGTCCTCGGAAGTTTGTTGAGCGCTTGCTGTGTCCCTGGCGGCCGGTCTCAGTGGGGCCCGAGGGCTGGCAGCTGGACCGCGTGGCCACCAGCCTCACGCCCGGCGACGAGGTCATTCGGGCAGAGGCGTGGGCGCCGCTTGTGTGTGGCCGCTGGGTCCCTGCCCGCCTGTGCCTCGGTTTCCCCGCTACACACAGGGGAGACGGTAGGACCAGCCTCACAGGCGGGCAGAGGAGGTCCGGGCACGGATTCAGGGCCCGAGTCTCCACGAAGCTCCTTCCCGCGGCTGCAGGGAACGGGCCCGGTGGCTCAGTGGGCGGCGCGGCGGGAACAGCGGGGGCCCCGGGGAGGAGCTGGGGACGGGGAGGGGGATTCAGACAGTCTGGGGGGGCGGGGCCCTGCGGAGTGGCCCCTCGGTGGCCAAGGTCACCTCTTCTCTGGGTTCCGGCAATTCCGTCCCGGGACCCCACGCACCCTCCGGACGGTGGTTTCAGGGCCTCAGACACAAGCCGGTCGTGAGTCTGTGGCTCCCCGGCCGCCTCCCGCCACGTCCTCCCCTGGGGCCGTCCCTGCGTCCCCCCGGCTCCGGGGACGTGTGAGGCTCCCATGGCTGCTGTGACGAGTGACCAGAACCAGGTGGCTTCAAGCAGCACACAGAGGAGGACGGGCAGCAGTTAGCGCAGGGCTAATCTTCCTCAAAAACAAAAAATTAAAAAACAAAACAGCAACACACACTTATTGTCTCAGTCCTGGGATCGGGAGTCCAACGGGGTCCCACGGGGCTAAACCCAGGGGTGGCCAGGGCGGGTCCCCCCGGAGGCCCCAGGGGAGGAGCGTGTCCCGCCTCCTCCAGCTTCCAGAGGCGCTGCGTCCTGGGCTCGGGGCCCCTTCCTCCGTCCGCACGGCCAGCAGCGCAGCGTCTCCATCTCGGCCTCTGACCCCCCCGCCTCCCTCTGCTCAGGACCCTGGGCTGACCCTGGGCCCCGGGAATCCAGGGTCACCCCCATCCCAGGGGCCTCGACTTAACCCGTCTGCAGAGTCCCCTCTGCCCCGTGAGGTGACACGTACACAGGTCCCGGGACCAGGACGGGGACGTCTTTGGGGGACGTTATTCCACCCAACACAGAGGGTCTCATCCCCTTTCTCAATTAACCTTCCATGGCCTCTGCTCAGGGCCGCCCAGGACTGTTGCACAGGTCGTGTCCTGCACAAGGCACCTGGCTGAGGTGCAAAGGGCTGGGCTCCCCCACGGCCCGGCTTCTTTGCCAGATGGGCAGCGTCACCAAGGGGTGCGTTCGTGAGTCACCTCGTTTGGGTGACACCCCCACGGTGGGCCCAGCTCTTGGGGTCTCAGTACATTCTCCTCGAGCCCATAACACCCCTCAGGCACGACTTGTAACTGTTCCCCCAAAACATAGCGAGTATGAGGCCTCGACCCCCACAAGCCAGTCCTGTCTCAGACGCCATGATGCCCCCACGCGCCCCACACCCAATGTGGGGTCACCCCGGGCCGGAGCTCAGCCGGCAGAGAGCTCGAGAGAGCAGGCCCGCCCGACCCGGCTCTTCACCCCTGAGTCTCTGTCTCTCCATCTCTGTCGCCCCCACTCCTCTCCGTCCTCGAGTCCCGCTCCTCGTCGGGAACGTCGGGTCCCATCGAGAATCCTCGGACACGGGGAGCGGTTTCCCGGCCTGAGGCTGAGAGACGAGCCTCCGGCCCAGCTGCCCGGCCCGCGCACAGCTCCCCCTCCACCCCCCGCGTGCGGACGAGGACACGAGGCGCAGACCTGGGCCCCGTGACACCATGACCCCGACCCCAGGGCGCGCCCCCTCTGACCCCCTCCGGCCGGCGTGGCCCCTCCACATTCCTGGTCCCCCCACTCCCGCCCCGGCCCCACTCGCAGTCGGGGACACTCAGGACCCAGGAAGGAGTGTCCGAGCCCCGGGCTGCACGCTCGGGCAACGTCGTGGGTTCTGGACGCGGCCGTGCCTGCTGGCCTCACCCGACCCTCACGGGGCCTGAGCTGAAGGAACTCCCAGGAGAGCGCGGGGCCACCAGGGTCAGCCCAGGTCGGGGTCCCCGGGCGCAGGCGGGGGAAGCAGACGTTTGCGTTTTCAGCCTAATCGACCTTCACAAAACCAAGAGGCTCCCCAGTAATGGGACACAGACGGACCATGTGACCCAGCGACCCCACATGAAGGCCGTTGGGGAGCCACGATTTGCTGGCTTAAAAAAACTAGAAATGCCCTAAAAATGGGACATCCTCTGAAATCCTTGACTCACCCCAACGGGTGTGGACATCTGGTTTCATGACTCATGGTTGGTCTAACTCTGTCCCTGGGGCCATGAGAAAGCAGAGGGGTGAAATAACTCGCACAGGGTCACAGGGCCGGTCCGTGGGGGGCTGGGGTTAGGATGGACGCTGGACACGGCAGTGGCCAAGGGCCCCTTGACTGCAAGAAAAAAACGGCTGAAGCAAGCTGGCTTTGACAAAACTGGTTCAAGTAACTGAACAGTCCAAGTAGGATCGGCTTCAGGTTCAGCTGGTTCCAGGCCCCAAGCAGGGCATTCAGGTCCCTCTTCACCGCTGAGAGCACCAGGTTCATGTCCAAGCTCTGCCCCTAATCCCTGAGTGACCACGGGCAGGGCCCGCCCCTTCTCCCAGCCTCAGTTTCTTCACATGCAACTTCCTGGTTTGAGGCCGAGAGGATACGCGCACGCTGCCACCAGAGGGCGGCAGGACACCAGCTGTGCGGCACCGGCTTCGCCTCCGCCGGGGGGAACCCGCCGCTGCCTCTTTCGGGCTCCCGTTGTGAGGGGACCGACGTCACCCCAGAGCCCGTGCGGGGTCCAGGCGGCAGCGAACGCAGCCCCGGCCCCTCGAGACCCCGCTGGGCCGGCGGAGGCCACGGGAGGGGCGCGGGGGGTGGACGAGCCGCGTCAGGCAGAGAGAACCGTGCTCTGCCGACCTCTCGTGTCTCTAAACGTCTCTGAATGTGTTTTTCCCGGAACGTGGAAGGAGTTGGGAAAAATTGAAAAAAAGTGGGTGCGTTACAACGCAGAGCGTTATTTGAGATTTTCACGCACATGCTTTGTTTCTGCTGCAGACAGAATGGACCATTCGCCCCAGTGCCGCCTCTGCGCTGCTTCCCGCCGGGACCCGGGCGTCTCCGGGGTCGGTGGTCAGTGGTCAGTGGTCAGCGCATCCGCAGCTTCAGACGGTTCCGAAGGCGCCGGACAGGCCACGCGGCCGGACCTCGGGGCGGGGGGGGAATCGGGGCGGGGGGTCGGGAGGCTTCCGAGGGACCCCGTCTCCGCTCTCCGTCCTCAGCCTTCTGGGTCCCAGCCAGAGGCGCGGGCGCGAGGGCACAGCCTCCGAGCCATTCATTCGTTCATTCATTCGTTCATTCGTTCGTTCATTCATGCCTCCGGGTTCTGGTCGGACAACCGGGGCAGGAGATCAACGCCACTCACGCTCACGGTGCGTCGAGTGAAAATGTGATAGTACTCGGGCCTCGGAAACGGAACTGCCCACCTCGCGGCCCGACGCCCGCAACTGTCCTCCCCCGGCCCCATCCCCCACTCTCCCTCCTCCACCCACACTTCCCACCCCCGACCCCACACCATCCCCCATGCCTTAACCCCCGTCCCCCCATCCCTCCCCCATCCCCGTATCCTCCCCCCTCCCCCCGTCCTTCCCCCATCCCCGCATCCTCCCCATCATCCCTCCTCCGTCCCCGCATCCTCCCCGCATCCTCCCCATCATCCCTCCCCCATCCCCGCATCCTGCTCGCATCCTCCCGGACCCCCGCCGTCCCCTCCCCGTCTCCCGGCGCCGCCTCGGCTGTTCGCCCCGCAGCCGCCAGAGGGCGCGGCGAGCCCGAGTCGCCGTCCCCGCTCCGCCCGCAGCCGCGCGGCCCCCACGTCCCTCCCTCGGGAGGCCGCGCCCCCCGTCCACCGCCTCCTGCGCCCTGGCTTTGCGCTGGCTGTTCCCTCTGCAGGGACGCTCTTCCCACTGCGGTCACCACCCGGGTCTCTATTCAAGCGCCCTTCCCAGCCGCGTCTCCCCCGCCCCCCACCCCCTGCGGCCCCCTCGGCGCGAACCTCTAGCCCGCCTATGGTCCCCGTTGACTCCGGTCCCTCACCGCCCCGCCGCCGCCTCCGTCCTCTCCTCGTCTTCCTCGGGCTCGAGGCGCGGTCCTGCCCCGGGGCCTTTGCACGGCCGCGCCCTCTGCCCACACGCTCTGCGCCAGAGCAGCCGCCGCAGGGCCCGGTCAGCCGCCTGCAGGGCGCGCGGGTTGGCGTCTCAGGCTGGCATCGGGGACGGGACCCTCTCTGGGCTCAGGGTCCCCCACACCCACCTCACTGCTAACACAGGTCACCCCATCTGCTGCCGGCCAGGCCCAGCACACAGCAGGTGCCCAATAAATGTGCTGGATGGAGGGATGGAGCCGGGTCCCCAGGGCGGCTGCCCGTCTGGCCTCCCTCCCGTCTGTTTACAGGGGCCGCGTTTCCAGCCCCACAGCTGGGCCAGGGCGGGGGTCGAGGGACCGTGGAGTCCGGGGTGACCAGCGCTGGCACCCGGGAGTGACCGAGTGGGGCCTGGAGGCTGCTGTGGAGACATGTTCTGTGCACCCAGCACCTCTATCTGCTTCCAGAACATTCCATCCCCCCAAAAAGCAACCCCGTCCCCATCAGCATCACCCCCACCCCCTCCCCAGCCCCTGGCCTCCGCGAGCGCGCTCTCTGTCTGTGGATCGGCCTGTTCTGGATGTTTCCCGTCAACGGGGTCACACGCCGTGTGTCCTTCTGTGTCTGCTTCTCTCCCTGAGCGTCGTGTGTGCAGGTCCGTCCACGTGCAGCCGTGTCAGGGCCTCGCTCCTCTTCACAGCTGCGTCGTGCTCCAGCGTGTGGGGGGACAGGTTCCCTTTGTCCATGCAGCTGTCGGTGGACACTCGGGTTGTGTCCACTCTGGCTGTTGTGACTCGTGCTGCCGTGAACACACATGTGCAGGTCCGTGTGGACGTGGGGGCCTCGCTCTGCCCTCACCCGTGTGTCCCCATCTGGGCCCCGTCCTCAGGCTGCCAGCAGCTGGTAAACGAGGTGCCACTCAGCACAAGGATGGAGCGGAGGGCGTGGGGTCCCAGGCTGGGGTCCCGCTGGGCGGCTCGTGGCTCCTCTGAGCCTCAGTTGCCTCATCTGTAAAACGGGGACGACAGGAAAACAGCCCGGAGGCTCCTCAAGAAGCTGCGAGTGGTCGTGAGATCCAGCACTTCCACCCCCAGGTCTGCGCCCCGAGGAGCTGACGGCACGTCCACAGCAGCAGATTCACCGCAGCCAAAGCTGGACGCGGCCCACGTGCCTGCAAATGGGCGAGCGAATGAACAGTGCGGCCCATCCACATGGGGGAATATTACGCAGCCACGAAAAGGAGGGGAGCCCCAATTCATGCCGTAATGTGGGCGAACCTTCAGAAAATGATGGTCGGCAGGAGAATCCAGACACAGAAGGAGAAACGCCGTCTGACTCCAGCCCCATCAGGCCCCCGGACCAGGCGAATCCACCGGGAGAGACGAGGAACCACAGTTACCTGGGACGGGCGGAGGGGGATGGGGTGGCCGCTAACGGGCTCGGGACTTCCTTCCGAGGTGACAAAATGCCCTGGAATCGGATGGTGGCAACGGTGGCACAAAACTCTGAATATACCAGAAACCACCAATTGATCCGCTTTGAAAGCGTGAATTTGATGACGTGCGGTTTCATCTCAGTGAAAACAAGATGCTTCCGGAACTTTCTCAACACGAGCTCCCCCGTTCTGCCTTCTGATCGGCAATGGCGGGGAGTCCCCGTTGCTCCAGGTCCTGGCCGACACCTGGCGGGGTGGATATTTTTGGTTTCTGCCGTTCTTGGGGTGCACAGGGGCTCCCCACTGGGATTTGAATCTGCCCTTCCCTGTGGGCAGGCGACTCGAGTATGGAGCCCATTTTCATTGCCGTTGGGGGTCTTTCTTCAGAAGCTGCTTGATCAAGCCTGGCCCATTTCCTTAAGCTGTTTTTCTTTGTCATTGATTTGTGAGAGTTCTTTACATATTCTGGACCCACATCCCTGGTCGGGTTACGACCGACCGCGAGCATCTCCTCCCAGGCTGTGCTTTCCTGTTTGACTCTCCCGGTGGTGTATTTGGACAAACCAACTTGTTTAAAATAAAAAGCTAAATGTTTTAATTAGAAATAAATCCGATGGGCAGGGCGGCTCAGGGCCTGAGTCATCGAGGACACAGTCGGCCAACAGCAGCGTCAGCATCTCCACGGGGAGGAGGGCGGAGGCGACAGGACTGGCGTCGCACACAGATAAAGAGACCGAGGTTCCCAGAGGCCCCCTGACTCGTCCTGGGTCACCTGAGGCAGCAGCCCTGCCCCTGACGTGAGTGGAAGCCGGGGATGGATGTTTCCGGAAGACACGGCCCCCGGCCCCACTCAGGGTGTTTCTGGGCAGATCTGCAGATTTGGCACAAAATCCTCAATTTCGACTTACAAAACCTCGTTTCCTGCCAAGTCGAAGGGAAGAGGCCGGGGACGGGGCAGCCGCTGTTTACGTCTGGTCTACGCGGGGCGGCAGCCGCGATGGCTCGTCCGCTCACACGGGGGGCAGTGACATCGCGGGACGTCCACCGCGGGCGGGCAGGGCTGGCCGTTCTGGGCGCTAACTATCCGAGGGCTCGAAATTCTACCCGCGGGGTTTATGCCCCAAAGAAATGAAAATATGTGTCCGACCCAAACCCCGTGCCTGAGCGTCCACAGCAGCACGCGTCACGGCGCCCAAAGGTGGAAAGCGTCCGTCACTCGCGGACGGATAAACAAGATGCGCACCGGGGGGAAACCGAGGCAGGAGGCTGTGCGAGGAAGGAGCGGGGAGGGGAGGGGAAGCCGCGTCAGAACCCGGAGGAGGCCGGGGCGTCAAATCCACGCGAGATGGCGTGTGGCGGTCGGTGATGGCCTGACCCGTGTGACGACAGAGCGGGGAAACTGAGGCTCCGGGAGCTGACGGATCCGCTTGTGGCCAAGGAACGGGGGCTGCAGAGGTGCGTCGGCCACCTGATCCCAGAGCGTCACTCGCCACCCGGCCAGGAGCCAACGACGGGACGCGGGTGCCCCCTGCGTGTGGCATCGACGCCGAGCCGCTCAGACTGCGGGGAACTGAGTCCCGGGGGACCCGGTCGGCCTGGACCCCTCCTGCCTCTCGTCCTCTGACCCCGGGGAGGCCCCGACCCCAAAGGGCAGGGCGTCCTTGCAGCCTCAGTCTGTCCACCTGAGATGGACGGGGAGACCCTGACTCGGCGGCTGCGACGGGGCCAGGAGGGGACGTGAGGAGGGGGAGGCGCCTGGGGAGCCGGGAAACTGAGTCCCCACCTGCTTGCCCCCCGGGGTTCACTGGTTCGGATCCCGGGTGTGGACATGGCACTGCTTGTCAAGCCATGCTGTGGCAGGCGCCCCACATATAAAGTAGAGGAAGATGGGCACGGATGTGAGCTCAGGGCCAGTCTTCCTCAGCAAAAAAAAAAAAAAAAAAAAATACTATACCAGAAACCATTGAATTGCATAATTAATTTTTTCTGCATAATTTAAAAACATGCCTTTACTAATTTTTGGCACAAGTTAATTTTCACGCACACAGAGGGTGTAAAGACGCGTCTGCTCCGACTCGTTCCCACCGTCCTTCTCTCTGGGAGCAAACACTCTTATTTTTCCACACTTTTCCCCAGCCTTATCGAGCTGTGACTGACAGATAACGCCGTCTGTATTTGAGGCGGAACGTGATGGTCAGCGTGTGTAAACGTTGTGACGTGCCCCCCACAACGAGGCCGGTGCACACGCACCCGAGCCTCACGCGGGCCTGTTTCTCGGGGGGAGAACACAGAAGATCTGCTCCCGGCACGTTCCAAGCACCAGGTACAGGCCTCGAGCCCGTGCAGCAGGCCGCAGAACTGTTTTCTTATAACCGGAAGGTCGTGCCTGCGACCGCGTCTCCCGTCTCCCCATCCGCAGCCCCGGTGACACCGTTCCCCTCTCTGGCCCCATGAGCTCAAGTTCTTAGATTCCACACGTAAGGCAGACGGGGCGGAATTTGTCTTTCTCTGTCCAACTCATTTCACTGAGCATCACGCCCTGCAGGTCGGTCCATGTTGCGGGAAATGGGAGGGTTTCGGTCTTGTTCATGGCTGCGTAGTATTCCGCTGTGCACACACCCACCACGTCTTTATCCGCTTGAATCCCCCCTCGATGGGCACTTGGGCTGTTTCCACGTCCTGCTGTCGTGAGTAGCGCTGCAGTGGACACGGGGCTCACGTGTCTGTCTGAATCCTGTCTCTCTGGATAAATACCCAGAAGCGGGCCTGCCAGACGGTACGGTATTCCCATCTTTAACGTTTTGAGGAATCTCCCACCCTGTCTCCCACGGCGCCCGCCCCAGCGCACGTTCCCACCAGCCGGGCACAGGCTTCGCCTTCTCCGCGTCCTCGCCGGCCCTGGTGTTCGTCCCCCTCAACGCCTGGGCCCACGGGTGTCTCCATTTCCAGAGGGTCCTGTGGTTGGAATCGCGCACGTCTAACCTCCTCAGACCGGCTCCCTTCGCTTCCTCACGTGCGTTGAAGGCTCCTCCGCGTCTTCCCGTGGCGTTAGGCTCGTTTCTCTTTCTCGCTGAATGACGTTCCGTGGTCTGGACGGACCGCAGTCCGTTTGTCCGTCCTCCACCGCAGCGCATCTCGGCTGCTCCCCGTGTGACCAGCTGTGAGTAAACCGGGGGAACATCCGTGAGCGGGTTCGTGTGTGGACATCACCCTCTTTTCCCTCCTCAGAGCCCGGGCCTCCCGGGGTGGGGGTCTCACTGAATTCTGTGTCCCCCAGACCGTCCGTCTCACCAGGGATCCTGTGAAGGCGGGGACAGCGGCCTCCCGGCTCCCGTTGTGCCCACGTCTGACCCCGACGGCGGCTGGAGGTCGGGGTCGGACAGATCTCGCTTCGAGAAGCAGCATCTCCGAGCTGAGTGACCTTGGAGACTGACCCTGGGCCTCAGTTTCCCCAGCTGCAGGGAGGCCTGGAGGAGAGGGCCAAAGAGGCTGCCAGTGCGCCTGCAGTCCCAGCACGGGCCTCCCCCCCAGCTCCTCCTCTCCTCCAGGCAGAAAATGCTGGAAAGGAGCCACTGGGCCGGCCGCAGGTGGACTCACAGCCGCCTGGTCCTCTCTCCTCAGGGACAGCGGCCCCGACTCAGGGAAGCGGGGCCCCAAGCACCCCCGGCAGGTTTTTCCGGCCGTGAGTCCAACGTGGTAACTCACCGCGGGGCTGCCCGAACTTGCCCAGGTTTCCCGCTCTCCCTCCTGCGCGCCCAGCTCTCCACCGATGCGCACGCGCCCTGCGGTCTGACGCGCACCCAGCCCGGCCACAGGGCGGGTCCCAACCCCGTGCTCCAGGCTCCGTCCACACGGGGGAAGAATCCTGGTCACGGTGGGAACAAGGTAAACGGGGCCGAAGCTGCAGAAAAGGGCGGGTCCTCCCCAACCGGACGGAAGGCACCACCAGCACCCACAGCTCCGCCGTCTACACCCGAATGACCAAAGCCAGGCGTTCAGACAAAACTGTGTCCACAGGGCCGGCCTGTCCACCTCCGAGGTCCCACTGTGTGCCCGACGCTGGGGACAGAAATGTGGACTCTGGGTGACAACGGTCAGGGGCTGCGGGGGCGAATCCAGCAAGGACCCGGGGGGGACTTTGACCCCCTCGGTTTCCTCCCAGCGAAGCCCAGCTCTTCACAGTGTCGCCGGGTCCCCCGTTCTTTCCCCTCCCCCGGGGCAGGGCCTCATGTGCAGCTGGAGCCAGCCTGACCTGCAGGCCACAGAAATCCCCCTCCCCTTCCTCCTCAGCGGGAAGGTAGACGTTCTGACGGGCCGGGGCGCCCGTGGGGTCTCGCAGGCCGGCCAGACCCTCAGGCGCACGCCCCCCACAGTGCGGGGTCTCCGGGGGGACGGCCTGGGCGGCGCTGGAATGTTCCCTGGCTCCCAGGACTTGCTCAAAGTCCCCGGAGGCTGGCGGCCAGCAGAATCCAGAGGGAACAGGACTCCCGGGGCGGCTGATTTAAAAGCAACAAACAAACACCGGGCAGGAGGCAGGAACGCACGGAATGTGCCCGTCCCTCCGGGTGGGGCCTCCGGGGTCTCGGGGTGGGGGGAGGCCCTCGCGGTTGGAATCCTTCCAGGCCCAGGTCGGAAAGGAACCGCCATGGAAGGTTCCGGAGACGAGAGGTTCACAGGGGGAAATCGGCGCGAAGGCCACAGGCTGGCGGGAGCCTTGGCCCGGCCGTGTCCCCGCGTCCCCACCGGAACCTCGCACAATACGTGGAAATGACACAGAACATTCCGGAGCCCAGAGGCCGGCTTTGGAGAGAGCGCGAGTCCCGGTGGGTCTGTTTTCGTTGTTGGACCCAGTTTATCTTCGGAGAAGGGAAGTCGCCCAGCAAACAAGGGGCGGGGCCTGCGCAGGGCGCCCACCTCATTCTAGAACTTTCTGCCGGGGACGACGCCCCGGGAATTCAGAGCCTGTTGGCGATAGAGGAGCCTGGGGCGGGCGGGGGGCCGTCTGTGCGTTTCTCTAAAGAATAACGACGCCGGGCTTCCGGGAAAGACAAACAGCGGCCGCCGCGGCCTTTCTGGGGTTTTCTCGTTTGTCCGGCTCTGCTGGGCCCGGGGCGTCGGCGGGTCGGGTCGCGGCCAGCTGGGCGGGGAGGGGCTCCCGGCTCGCCTGGAATGCGGGGTTGGGGCCGCCAGAAACTCCCGGAAACGCCCGCAGGCGCCTGTGCCCCGCGGGCCTGAGCAGCTCCGAGCAGCCGCACCTCCTCCCGCTCCAGACGGCCTTCTGGGGGCTTCCGTCCGTCCGTCCGTCTGCGCGGGTGGGCCGCGCGCCCCAGACCGGGGAGGTGCTGGTGCCGCCGAGCTGGACAGGGAAGGGGCTCGAAAGGGTGGGTTGTGTGTTGGGTTTTATCACGATTTTTAGAAAGTGACGTTTCAGAAGAAATGATGACGCCACCCGGGAAGTTTCAGGACGTAAACTCGGGGGGAAACGGGGCTGAGAACCTGCTGAGTGGGGAGCGCGCTCGCTTCGGGCAACGGGCTGAAGCTACGAAAATAAAACCTAATGACCTGGTTGGCGTCACAGCATCCCAGACGCGCGGCTGCTTCTCCTCTGCCCTCCACTCGACTCTTAAACCTTTTCCCACACGAGCCTGGGAGACGGAGGTGGTTTTTGGGGCCGGCCCGGTGGCGCAGCGGTTAAGTTCGCAGGTTCTGTTTTGGCGGCCCAGGGTTTGCTGGTTCGGATCCCGGGTGTGGACATGGCACCACTCATCGAGCCATGCTGTGGTAGGCGTCCCACATAGAAAGCAGAGGAGGATGGGCACGGATGTGAGCTCAGGGCCAGTCTTCCTCAGCAAAAAAAAAAAAAAAAACCCAAAGATGGAAGATGTGGAACCGCAGGGAGCACGAGGCCACCTGAGAAAAGTCGACAGTGACTGCGTCACCCGCAGATTCCGGGGTTGAAGACAGACGTGGAAAGCGTCTGGAAGCAAAGAGCGCGGATGAGGAACAGCGGGAACCTGTGGAACGCGCCGCGAGGTTCGCCCTTGGTTCTGGGTCCATGTGGATTTCGTACAAAGATGATTAGTAACTTTTAGGAACACGTGGGAACTGTTGGCACCACCCCAGTTACAGATTCAGTGTCTGTGTCTAGACTGACGCCTGCAGCCTACGTCTGTCTGCATAGACACGTGTGTGGACAGACGTGTGTGTGCTGGACACGCGTGTGGGTGGACATGTGTGTGGGTGGACACGGCCGTCCGTCCATGGGCACCAGGGTCGTGTCCACCTTCTGCCCGTCGTGAATCCCGCTGCTGTGGACGCGTGTGAACAGCTTCTCGTGTGGACGCAGGTTTTCAGGGTTTTTCTCCATTTCCACCCGGGAGGAGAATTGCTGGGCCACACGGTCCTCCCGCGTCTGCCCATCTGAGGGTCGGCGGCCGGGCGGCGGTTCTGAGGCCCGGGCCAGGCGCGTCCGGCCGTGAAGACGGCGGCAGGAACGACATCCCGGCCCGACTCATGGATGTGAGCGGCTGCGCGGAGCCCGGAGAACTTTCCGCTGTGATGCGGGGGCTGCTGCGCGGGTGCAGGTGGGGGTGGGGCCGCGATGGTCTCCCGTCACCCTCGCGTCTGCCCTCCTCCGCGAGGGGCGGCTCAGATGCCTGTCCGCGTGTTCGGCCCGGGGTGGGGGGCCGGGCCTGTGCTGGTCATCACCCCCAGGCCACCGGAGCCGCTGCTGCGCGACGTGAGCTGGGGTGTCCGGTTCCCGCCATGAACTATTGATGCGGCGGCGTCTCCCCCTCGCGGCTCCGTCTCGGGTTTCGCGTGTCGCCCGTTGTGAAACCCGAGGGCCGCTCTGTCCTGGCCCCGCTGGGCCCTCTGGGGCGCACGTTCCTCCCTCTGCACCTGGATCCTTCCAGAACCAGGACCCCATGTCGCCCCCGAAACGGAGGCCCGACCTCCAGGGGTCACAGCTGCAGGTGACCCCGGGGGCTTTAATTTAACCCCGCGGGCTGCTGGGTCGTCTCCGGGGGCGTCCTGAGCGCTGTGTGGGGTGAGCAGCGTTCCCAGCCCCCCCCAACTGGATGCCGGGAGCTCCCGCGTGTGACGACCACAGACGTCCCCAGACAAGACGGAGGGTCTGAGTGGACCAGGCCGGGTGCGGGGGTCTGCTCCCCGGCGAGCGAGGAGTGGGGTCTCTGCGCCCCCGTCCTGGCTGGTGTCCCCGGCCCCTGACCCCATGGCTGGCGGGCGCCGGGGGAGCAGATGGTGGCCGGATCGCTTTCGGCCCGGCTCACGTTCCCCGTCCAGGTCGGGACGGCTTCCTCCTCATCAATTTTGCACGGCGTGGAGGCAGCCGGCCGCGTCCTGTCTCCGGGCAGCGGTCCCGGCCTGACGCAGCCGTCCGCCCCGCCGGCCCCAGAAGCCGGCAAAGCTTGAGAAAGGGGACGAGACCCTCGGTGGTCGGCAGAATAACAACCCCAAAGGCGTCCCTGTCCCGGTCCTGGTCCTGTGGCTGTGCCACATCACGGGGCAGAGGGGTCGGGGGTCGGGACACGGGTGCACCTTGTGGGCACCTGATTCAAACCAATGGGTTCGCTCGTCCACCGTCGAGGCCCCAGCGGCCCTGACCCCTCCCTTCCCACCTTTCGTTCCTGTGTTTCCTGCTGGGCCCATCGTGGCTGCCAGGGCGGCTGCCCTCAGTCGCGAGTCCGTCTCCGTCGTCCCCGCACACCCAGGGCCCGGCCGAGTCCTGACGTGACCACAGACCTTTAGGGCCCGGGGTCTGAGGCTCCGCCACCAGCTTGACAGAAAGACCCCTGGCCCACCATCCGCGTGGGCTGCACATGGCGGCCCCTCCCGAGGGCGGTGCAGAGGGGGGACCCCAACGTAGGGGCCCGAGCAGCCCCCCCCAGGAGGTCAGGGACCCCCAGCAGCGAGGAGCCACGTGGACGGCAGGGCACATACCCCGGAGGTCTTCCTCCCGATAACCTATTGCCCTTCAGTGGGTCCCGAGAAAACAGGAGATGGACCCCAGGGAGGGCGTCCTGCCCACTCCTGCCCAGTGCCTCTTCCGATGGCCCCGGGCGCCCATGCGAGGGACGTCACAGGAACCGTCCCGATGGCGTCCCGGGACAGACGAGGACATCAGGGGAAACTGAGGAAATTCACCAGTACAGACAGACGGGGGGAGACGTGGAGAAATTGGAGCCCTCGACGAGGCCGGTGAGGACGTGAACGGGTGGCCGCCACGGACAACAGGCCGGGGGCCCCTCAAAGGGTGGCGGGCGGCTCCACGGCTGGGTGTCCGTCGTGGGCTGATTCTGTCACTGACCCCCAGGACCCCTGAGGGGACCTTCCTGGAAACGGGTTTTCCGGAGGTGACCTGCTGCACCGAGGGCCTCGGGGGGACGGAGTCCCGTACGGCGGGCGTCCTTACAGACGGGAGACGAGGACAAGGACACACACTGAGGACACGGGGGCCGGCCGTCCACACGCGGGGGAGACGGGGCTCAGTGGGAACTGGCCCTGCCGA